CCGGGAAATTCAAATCCCGGGCTTCATTTGCAAGTGCGGTATGCCTACATTACCCCGCTAGTTCGAACTAGGAGGGTAGTGTAGACATACTCTGGGATGGGGATGAATGCCGGGGGGAAGGGAATGGAAAGGTCGGAGGGAAATGGAAAGGTTGGCCACTCCTCCCTGCTAGGTTGTAGGTGGCGGAGGAGGAGGTGCCAAGAACGGGGAGGGCCCATAGACGCATATCCAGGAGGGGAGGGAGGGAGCGATCACTGATGCTGGGTCAGGCTCTGGGGTGGGGCAGGGGATGAGGGATCGGGAGGCAGAAGAGGGTATAGTCTCTGGGTTGGGTGTTGGGGCCCAGGAGGTGGTAAGGCTCCTGGCTGGGGACATGGGCTTTGGTGAGGGGCTGGGAGCTTTGGGGTGCAGGAGAATGCTCAGGGCTTGGGCGGCTCAAGGTGGGGCAGAGAGGTGGGGCTCAGACTTACCTGACTGGCTCCATGCTGGGGAGGGCCAGAAGTGGCCACCTTACCTCTGGCCATGGCAGCCTCATGCTTTGGTATGCGAGGTGGGGGCTCTAAGCTTGGGATTGGAGCTGGCAGGGATGCGTCCCCTCGCACGGCCCGGCGCGAGCCTCTGCGCCGGGCGTAATGGAAGCGGTGGGGCCACAGCTTACAGGAACTTAGATCATGACCCATTTTGTGCAGTTCCCCCAGCTTGGAGCTTTTGGTTCCTGTCCTCCAAAAAGATGAGCTGTTCCAGGAGGGTTCATGGACGTATCGAATCCCGGCCCTGCTCTACATTAAGACGTCCCGCACCATCCTGGCTTTCACCGAGCAGCGGGCAGGTAAGAAGGACGAAAGCGCCAAGCGGATCGTCATGCAGAGAGGCGCATATGATGATGCTAAACGCACCGTTCAGGTAATGCACGTTATTGAATCTACTTCATGGGTGTCCGGTAGCCCAGCCCAGGGATCCCAAAACTGCCAGCCTGCCCCCCCACACTCCACCCCGAGAACACCTGCTCTAACCAGGGAAGATGGAACCACCTGCTCTCCTCCCTCTCTGTGCTCTGGATCAGGGAGCTGATGGCCCTGCCCCCACTTGGCCTCCTCCACTCCCTGGCTGGTGCCGTGGGTGTGCAGGGCCTCAGCCGAAGGGACTGGGTTTACCTTCATCAACTGCTCATGGCCACTTTGCTTGGTTTGCTTTTTCGGGAGGCAGTAAACCGGGTGCAGGACCAGAGAGGTGCATGTGCAATAGGCTTGCGAGGGCATCCCCACTGTGTGCAGGGAGCCAGGCAGGGAGACAGCAGCAGAGGGTCACTGGCACGGATCCAGAGACCAAAGGCAGAAAGAGGTGGGCGGGAGGGGAGCCGCATGGGAGCTGGTGAAAGTGGGAGGGGGAAATAGAACCTGCTCGTTCTGGCAAAACAAATTCCTAGTTTTTAAATTGTTGAAAATCGCTCTGCCTGACAAAGTGCTGGGCCTAGTAAAGGTGAACTGGCTAACTAAACAATTCACCCGCCAATGAGGGCTGGGCTGGCAGGCAGCTGGGGGTCCTCGATGCTCGATCCATTTGTAATAACTTCTAACAATTGGACACCTTTCATGAAGACTGTGAATGCCCAGGGGTCCATGGCCTATAGGTTGGAAACCCCTGTGTGAGACTGTAAACTGTTCAGGTCACATCACTGTCTCTGCCTATCACAACTGAGGTCTCAGAGCACTCTGACTAGATACCTATTCAATAACAATGGCTTATACAGACTAGCTGGCCCTGCAGTCTCTTCTATCCCTCCGATTCCATGGTTCCCCGGCTGTGCTGTGAATTATTAAATATCAGTCAAGCACAAGGGAGTCAGGACCTGTGGGATCTGGACCAGAGCTCTGATTCTCACTTCCTGCTCATTCAGCGGAGTCACAAAACCAACAGTAGAAACGTGGATGACTGAAGCCGGGTGCCTGATTTCATATATCGTCACCCCTGTGACTTGAGTGTAATTTCTGGGGGTTTCATATATGTGAAGATCAGTCTCTTGATTTAGTTTGCTGTGTAACACAGCAAGTTAGTGGCAGCCTTGGGATGTGAACCATTGATTTCCAGTGCCCTGCTTTTATCACTCGGCTTTGGTGCCTCTCATTTCTGGCCTGCAAGTATCTGTCCTGGGTAATATGGATTGATTGTAATGCTGTGTTTTTTCCTTTGTCCCCCTTTGTGCTCCCACATGGCAGTGGGAACCAATGCAGATCGTTGTCGAGAATGTGAAATTGGATACACAGAAAGCCCGTGCTGTACCACACCGCCCCATGAACCCATGTCCCGTGTATGATGAAGTCACTGGAAATGTCGTTCTGGTCTTTATAGCTGTGGAGGGAAACGTCTCTGAGCAAGAACAGATCAGGAAAAAGGAAAACAAGGCCCGTCTGTGCCAGGTCTCCAGTGCTGACAATGGAGTCTCCTGGGGCCTTGTGACGGATCTCACTGACAGTGCCACAGTACCCGAGAACTGGGCCACCTTTGCAGTGGGACCAGGCCATGGTTTACAGCTATATGAGGTTGAGAGTCTAGTGATCCCAGCACATGCCTATTGGATATCTGTCGATAAGAAATCCACCTCCCCCCACCCCTTCTGCTTTATTAGTGATGACCATGGGAGAACCTGGAGAAGGGGGAACTATCTGGCAGAGAATGCTGGGGAATGCCAGATGGTTGAATTAAAGAGCCAAGGAAAGCCAGTGCTGTACTGCAACGCTAGAAGTAAAGAGCAATGCAGAGTCCAGGCTGTGAGTGACATTGAAGGGAAGGATTTTAGTCATGGTCTCATTAGTAAACTGGTGGAACCTTGTCATTCTGGTGGCTGTCATGGGAGTGTTATTGGCTTCCCATGTCCTGCTAGTGTGCAGTCTGAGCAGGACACGTGGTTGCTCTATTCTCATCCTACAAGCTGCTGTTGTCGGAAAGATTTAGGCGTGTACCTCAACAGGGAACCCTTAAATCCAGAAAGCTGGGGAGAATCCACAGTCATCTGCAAGGGCTACTGTGCTTATTCAGATCTGCAGTACATGGGGCCAGGCCCTGAGGGCTCACCCCTGTTCTGCTGCCTCTTTGAGTTTGGCAAGAAATGCAACTATGAGATCATCTTCCTTATGTTCACTCTGAAAGAGGTCTTTCCATCTGAGTCCCATGCCCCAGAGTAGAGGACCATGTGGTGCCCATGTAACGGTTGTTATTCATGATGTGTTGCTCATGGCATTGGAATTAGGTGTGTGCACACCGTGTGCATGGATTCTGGAGCTTTATTTCCCCAGTGGTATCCATTGGGCCAGCAGGGAGCCCCCAGAGTTGACACTGACATAATGAATAAGTACCCCTGCTGGACTTCCCCTCCCTCAGTTCCTTCTTGCGGGAGAAACTCGGATGAACTAGAGGTGGGGGAGGGGGTGTCGAATGGACATGAGCAACACATTTAGAACAACAACACTTACAGGGAAGTAACAGTTTTTCTTCTTTAAGTGCTTGCTCATGTGCATTCGAATTAGGTGACTCTCTATACCAAACCAATGGAGGAGGGGTCAGAGAACAGTACATGGCGCCTGCAAGAGGTGCCTGTTCTAGTGCTGTGCTGTGGACTCCAGGCTTTCCTGGTGCACTGGAGGAGGGGGCCTTATCCAAGACAGTGCCGTGGGAAGTGGGCTGCTCCTCCCGTTCCTGTGCACCACTCATCCTAGTGCGAGGATGGCTTTTTTTCTGGTGTCAATGAGGCTACCGGTGCCAATAAGGGACCTGGTACCAATGAGGCCGACTGTGATGATGAAGTTACCAGTGTTGACGAGGTTCCCAGGGCCAGCCAAGCCCCTGGTGTCATCGAGGTACCTGGTGCCACCGGTGCTGCAGGTACATGACTTGTCTGTCCTGAGTGTCTGATTCATTGACACCTCTGATCCAGGGCCGGGGACAAGACTAGTGAGGCAGTGAGCTCTATCAGCTCCCTCACAGTGTCAAAGGTCTCAGGGGTGGACGGTCGCTCCATGTGTAAGTGCCCTTCTTGACCTGGGCTCCTTGTCTATGTCAAGTCCAACCAGTGCCTAGAAGCCCTGGAAGGTCTTGATGGTGTGGAGGCGAGTCTTCTATCAGAGTGTGAGCCTGGTGCCGACTCCTGGGCCATTGCTTCCCCGTAGATCTCCCACTCGGTTGGCTCCTGTTCTTCCGTACCAGAGACTGGGAACGGAGCCTCAGTACTATAACCTTTTTCAGTGCCGTGGCATGTACCGGTGCCGCTGAGACTTCACGTACCGATGCCAAAGTGCGGACTCCATAAAAAGTAGCTTCAGACGGGAATCTCTCTCCCTCTTTGTGCGGGATTTAAAACCCTTGCAGATTTTGCAAGGATCTCTAAGGTGGCCATCAGCCAGACACTTCAAACAAGAGTCATGGGGGTCCCTGCAGGGCATTGGCTTTGAACAGGTCGCACAAGACTTAAAACCCTGCGGACCTGGCATCACCCTCCCTCATAGGGGACAGGCACGTTAATGCTAAAACCTACCTAACTAGTTGCCAACGATTTACACTAGAAAGAACAACTTCAAAGGAGAACTATCTACACGCTGGGGCGTAAAGTAAGAAAGACAAGTTGCTCCAGCTTCTGTCACGGGCTCTAAGAAGGAACTGAGGGGAGGGGAGGGCCAGCAGGGTTACTTATTCACCATTAGGTGGCGCCACTGCATGAGGCTCCCTAATGACCTGATGGATATTGCTGAGGAAAGGAGGCTCTGGAATCCACGCACCCGGCGTGTGTGCACCTAATTTGAATGCACATGAGCAAGCCCTTGAAGAAGAACTACCTTAGCTGACACGTCACTGCCCCATCTCACCTGTCAGCAAACGGCTTTTATCCCCTGCCCTTGTCCTGGCCCATAAGCCCTATTCAAAGGGTTGTTTTTCTTTGTCAAGCTTTCTGCTCCGCCCTTCCCACCGTGCTGCCCCCTTCAGCACCAAATAGCAAAAGTGAATGTGAGTTTCGTGTCACACCTGTCAGACCCAGCAGGGCAGCCCCTCTGTGGCAGATGTGATGCCCATCACCTTCCCCACACTACTTACTGGGTGGCAGTGTTGAAGTGGGCATCATTGGTGTCCCCCATGCTTTGCAATGATGTCATGTTTGCCCCTGAAAACCACATTGCCCCTGATCCTTCCCTTGCCCTGTCTCTGCTGAAATCCTTCCCTGGGCCATCAGCCCTTTTTGTTCTGAAAACTGCCCCTCCCTGCTCTGTCTGCTTCCGGGGAGCCAGGATGCTGCGTTCAGGTTGCTCTTTCACATGCTGTTCTACGCCATCCTCAGCCCTCTGCCCTGGGTTCTTACCCATGTCTGGATCATAGAATCTTAGTACTGGAAGGGACCCCGAGAGGGCATCCTAATCCAGTCCCCTGCACTCTTGGCAGAACTAAGTGTTATTCCCTGACAGGTGTTTGTCTAACCTGCAGTAGAAATTCCAAGGTCTCAGCCACCCTGACAGGAAGTTTTTCCTAATGTCCAACCCAAACTGCTCTTGCAATTTCATTGCTTCTTTTTCTAACTTTGGAGATTAAGGAGAACAATTTTTCTCACTTCTCCTTGTAACAATCTTGTAGGTACTTGAGGACTGTTATAAAGTTCCCCCTCAGTCTCCAATTCTTTCAGCCTTCACTTAGAGCTCACGTTTACTAGAACATTAATAATTTTTTATTGTTTTTCTGTGGACCTTGTCCAATCTGGCCACATTGTTCCTTAAACATGGCTCCAGAACTGGACACAAGACTCCAGCTGAGGCACAGCAGAGCAGAACTATTACTTCTTGTGTCTTCCCTACAGCGTTCCTGGATCCAGTTCAAGATCGCTCTCCTAGGGTATGTCTACACTAGCCCCCTAGTTCGAACTAAGGAGGCTAATGTAGGCATTCGAAGTTGCAAATCAAGCCCGGGATTTAAATACCCAGTGCTTGATTTGCATCTTCCTGGCTGGTCGCCAATTTTTGAAATTTACAAGTCCAGACTAACTGCCCGCATCTAAACACGGCAGGGACCCAGTAGTTGGAAATAAAGCCCTAGTTCAAATGACCCGTTAACCCTCATTCCAGGAGGAATAACAGGTAGTTCGAACTAGGGCTTTATTTCAAACTACCAGGTCCCTGCTGCGTGTAGTGAGTGTAGACGTGGGCAGTTAGTCTGGACTTGTACATTTAAAAAATGGCGCCTGGCTGGGAAGATGCAAATCAAGCGCGGGATATTTAAATCCTGGGCTTGATTTGCAACTTCGAATGCCTACCTTAGCCTCCCTAGTTCGAACTAGGGGGCTAGTGTAGACATACCCTTAGAAATCAAGACCCTCCAGTCTAGCTAAGTGTAGTATCTAGTATCTGCCACTTGGTTGCTCATGCTCCTGCAAAGTGCAGGTAAAAATAGTGGCAACAACCCACCGGGGCTGACCCTGGTGAACTGCCACCATTTCATTGCCCACCCCTGAAGTAGATGGATCGTCAGGAGTTATGTGAAGGAAGCAGCTTGGCCAAAGGAGACTCAGGGATTTAGAGGGGTCGTCTACTCTAACTCCCGAGGGAGTGAGAGGTTCTTGCAGAAATGCGGGGTGGGGTGAAAGGGACTATACAGTTGTTAGTGGGCAAAGGGCGTGACCAGAAATGAATCAAGAGCACAAACAATGGAAGGGAAGGGGAGCTAAGGGCAGAGATGGAGGCTGGGGAAAGATTTGAAAGTTTTACCCAGTTCTTCTGGGCAGGAGTCGATTTCTGCTGGAAGATTTGGCCCAAGCTATGTGCTGTGTAACAGACGAGGACAGAGGCAAGGCATGAGCGTGCACACACATGGCTCCAAGATGTAGCTTATAGGGCCACTAATGCTAGCCTGCTTCCTTGCCCATATATTTTATGGCTTTTAATTTTCTTATAGGTTTGATTTTTTTTGTTTTGTTTTACTATAATATGTGTATAAGGTTACATGAGCGTATGTTTTGGCTGTAACGCAATGGGCCTACAGGCCATGTCCTGTAGGTTGAGCTAAGGCTAAGTTATCGTACATATCTTTGGGATTTGTCACCTAGGTAGTGGTGACAAGCTAAAGCATAAGATCCATATATAGTAGTGCCCTAATAGTGAAGTATAACTGGTACCAGGGTCTTCCTAAGTTCATACACAGGTGAAATGTAACAGGTTCACCACTTAGAACCAGGTAGGACAGAAATAGCAGACGTGAGAATGAGGTAATGTCATTAATATGTCTGTATAGGGCGTCCCCCCTATAAATTGTTCTACATTAAAGTCGTTCATGCTTGTAGGAACTGAAGCGTTAAGTCCTTCCATTCCCTGCTCTTAAGTTGTGCAAAAAACCACAACACCTCACAATGGGCACAAATCGAAGTCAGCTGTGGGGATAAAATTTCCCACTTCCAGTTCTTTCGCTGTAAGCCCAGGCTTTCTGAAATGTATCTTGGACTTAGAGCGAGGACGGCCTGTATGCGTCACCTTAGAACGGGTGGGTTCTAAGTTTTGACCCAGAAGCAGGACTCAAGTGCTCCCATCTACCAAGTAGTTCCAAAGATTGGGAGCTTCCAGGATTCTCGGTTTCAGTTCTTTGTTCCCTTCTGTTTATTAGTCAGTTTAATTTTGTTTGTGTTGGTCAGTTCAGTTAAAACTCTTCTGGCTGGAGGTATCTCTGGCTTGTCGAGGTTCAGCATCTCCTGAGCTCTGCACCTTCTCCCGCTCTGGGACTGAGGAACCGGGACCTGAGCTTTTGGCATGCCAAGGGTGAGGCTGCTCTTTTCCACCAAGGCCGGGTGTGAGTACAGCCATCGAAAGCTTTCCAGTCTGTGATGCCACATGTGTGGCTAGAACAGTCGTATCGCCTGTGTAACCCATTCATTTGCCATTGAGTGGCTGTTTGCTTATTATTCTATTTACCTCAATAAAAGTGTTTAAGGCTCCATTTGTCTCAGTGTGTGTGGCTCTAGCAGGGCCTTTCCATGCCCATTGGAGTAGTGCCCTATGTAGGAGTCTGTAGCACATACCTGGGGGGATGCCAGGCCAAGGACACACACCCCGTACCCTGGGCCACGCTCCAGCCCTACTCCTGCTATTCCTCCTCCTCACCCTGACTCCACCCCTTCTCCAAGCCCCCTTCCCCAAGCAACACTGGGAGCTGGTACAGTGGGTGGGGCTGGTCCCTCCTCTTCCTGCCACCACCAGTGAGTGGGGGGGCAGGCCCGACTCCTGCTGCCAGCCCCCAGCCCCGTGCTCATCCCTGAATCCACCTTTCGCCCTGGTTTCCACAGCCCCTGAAGCATTGTACGCCTC